GTGACCTGTAGTCGGTGTTGACAGCCCAGGCGTAGCGAGTACTGGCGTCGATGAAGGTTAATGTATAGTATTTGCCATTGAGCCCTTCCCGCGTCAGACACATGAAGTCGCTGTAGACCTTATCGAGTGGTTTGTAGCGTTCGTATCCAGGTGGTAAGTCGGGGAAGGGTTTGTGAGCGAGCGATGCTGTAGGGCACACTGTGCAGGTCGGGTCGTCGGAGTCTATGGTAAGGAATCCTCCGCGTGGAAGGAGTAGTCCTTCGTTGTCGAGGACGCCGACCTTCAGTGAGTTCTTGAGTGTTGTGTGAGAGGGATGTCCGAGACGCTGATGCCAGATTTCTGGTTCCGCACGGTAGCCAACCGTTTTCTGATAATATTTTTGTCGTGCTGCTTTGTCGTTTGCCTCCCCTTCAGGTCCTGCATCGGCGGCGTTGTCAGCGTCAGCGGCGAATGCGCGAATTGCCTTTTGTTCCAGGAGCGCGTGTGGAATACCGATGATGTCGTCGGTGTTGCCAGCGTTGACTTGGTCTCCAGTGACAAGAAGACACCGATCAGGCCAGTCGCGGACTGTGAGTCCCTTCATGGGAATTCGATAGTAGTTGAATTCGGCCCCGATGACCTCGATCTCCTGTGGTCCTTGTACTGGTGGCTCCGGTTCCTCGGTGGGTGCTGGTAGCTCCGCTGCTTTGTCGAAGAGTTCGTAGGTTACTTCTTGCTCCTCTGACTCTTCTTCCATTGGTTCTGGTGTGTTAGGGGCGTACTGGTCTGGAAGAGGAGGACCACCCCAGCTGGTGCCTCGTGTTGCCCAGTAAGGATCGAACTCCGCTGTTTCGGCGGAAGGGAGTCCCGGAACTTCCGGATATGCGGGGGCTGCCTGCCCCAATTCTGCTTTGCTTGCAGAGGTGCCCCAGCCGCCTTCTGCTTCTCCTGTTGGAGGAGGGGGAGTTCCCCATCCAGTCGCGCCGACTTCTCCTGGTGAGACGGCGCCCCATCCGCTTGCGCCTGCCTCTTCTGGAGTTAGGATTTCTCCCCAGGGCCCGAGCGTGGGCTCTGGATTGCTCCAATCCGTCCAACTTGCTTCGGCTGTTTTGTTTTCCCCGGTGGTTTGCGCTGCAAGTTTTGACGTGCCGCTGTCTTCTTCCATCGTGGCAGGTCCGGTCTCCCCAGGATTAGAGGTCGAGGCGGTCGGAACGGTGCGTAGTCGTAGGAGGCCATCCGAGGCGGGTCGCTCGAGATCCATCTCTGTGGGATGTGACTAGGTTGGGGCTCCTACAGTGGTTGTCTTCAACAGCAAGGTGCGGTGAGAGTCTCCTGAGGTGCCTTGAGCTGAGAACTGCAGCACGAAGACCCCATCGTTATCCACGGCTTTGCCGATGTAAGTGTTGCCGTAGAAGAGTTTGAAGGTCTTTTCCTTGCGTTTGCTTCGAATGTCGACTCCGCACCGCATGAGGTGAGCCAAGGAAAGCAGGTTGTACCGCAGATCTGGAGCTACGGGCACGTCGCCGATGTGAATCGTGAAGTGTGTGTCGTCAGCTTCAAGGAAGATTTCACTGATGTCGTATGCCCTGAGTGTGTTTGCCACTGTGATTTCGCAGGGTCGTCGCATCCGTTTGGAGTTGGTGATGAATATTGGTGATCCCACCATGTGCTGTCCGCAACAAAAGTCCAGGTACCAGGTGTTGATGTTCTCGCGGCTTTGCCTCGTGATGTTGGCAATTTTAGGCATGACCACGCGATCTCTTTCTTCGGTGTATGGCGAGAGGGCGAAGTACCAATTCGCCGATATGCTGGGAGGCGATTCTGGTGTCGGTGGCGGCAGCTCGAAGTCAGGTGGGTGCCTTTGCGGTGAGTTGGTCTAGGAAGGGGCAGTGGGATCGTTGTCCTGTCTTGGTGCGACAGGATTGGTGGTATCGTGGAGCGCGAATGTTACTCGATCATAGTATCGGTATCCTCTGTTGCGGTGAGCCATGCAGCTCATGATTGCCCCTTTCCCTTTATCCTTCGCTGTGATAAGTGCAGGAGATTGGGAAGTGCTGGCAACGGAGGGAGGCGACACAGTGGAGGTTGCGACGAGAGGTTTTGCTTGTGCCGAGGGTTGCTGACTGAGGGTGTTGCGCCTTTCATCAGCAGCTTGACGCTTGTAGCACTAGTCGATAGTGTGGCCAGACTTCTTGCAGTATTTGCAGAAAGCTCCTTTCTTTCCGCGCTGCTCCCCTTGTGATGATCAGACGTAGAAGACTAACTTTTCCCGCTTTGTGTTCTTTTCGTTGTACAGGTTGATCTCCTTTTGTACGAAGAGGAGCGTGGCGCACGGAGCCGATTCGGAGACAGTTGCTCGAGCTCGGAGCAAGGATTGGCATTGACGCCAGTCGGGACCAAGACCAGAGAGTACCATTGAGACGAACATGTTGTCAGGAATGGATCTGCCGCACTTTTTGATGTGGTCGTGTAGATTGCGGCATCGGTTAATATATGGTCCCGCTTTTTCTCCTTGATGCATTTTGACCGATGTCAGCTGGCTGAGCAGGCGACTCATAGTGACTGGGTCTGTTGCCATGTATGAGTTGCGCAGGTGCTCCTAAGAGGCGTACACGGGTGATTTATAAGAGCGAATGCCGAGCTGTTCTTCGGGGGAGAGATTCCGGAGCAGAGTGGTGTACGCGAGAAGAGATTCGTGGTGATACTGATTCTTCTCTTGGATGGTGCCTTCCGTTGGAAATGGTAAGCTCCCATCGTAGTACATCCAGATTTGCACAGTTGTCGCGAGGAGCTCGAACTCGAAGCTCCAAGTGTAGAAGTCCTTTCCTTTAAAATGAATTGATGTCTTCAGCTTTGAGGTCAGAACAATTTTTTTCTGCATAGATGCAATCGTATCTGAATGTGCGCGTTGTTGACTGTCTTGCACAGGAGCTGAAGCTTGACAGTTGTCGAATGTGAATGACCTCTCGGAGTTGACGCGGCGGTCTTCTCCAGGGAGAGGGTGTCCAGCAACTCCACGTGCATAGCTTGAGCCATCGACGCTCATTGCTTGATGGCTTTCAAGGGCGTCGATGCGGGCGACCAGCTGCTCAACGAGAGCGGCGCTGACGGAGGTCACCGCTGATGGTGCAGTGGGTGTTGTTGCTGATGGTGGGCCCGGAGAGTCTGCAGTGGCTTTTCCTTCTGGAGCCATAGTGATGCAGAGTCCTTAATGATGTAATGAATAATTTATGGAGAGATTGTTCTAACAAGAACAAGAGCTTGGCAGTCCTTATGATCCACTCTAGCTCTCATACCATGCTGATATAACTGAAGGATCGTAGTGAACAGGATAAGGTTGCCAAGTGTGGAGGAGAACTATAAAGTCTCTGTAATGACCTTGTTGATTAATTGAAAGAGAACAAGATGATTATAAGATAGAAGTACAGGGATATAAGTAGCATTCTAGCTAGCCATGTACTCTGAGGGGTACATTCCCTTATTAACTGAATTTCATTGCCACAGTAACCCATGACTATTGCCATTCTAGACAGTTACCATGTCGCACTTTGCAACTGCCTCGTGCGGTTACTGGGTAGTCACGGGTCACGACTTTTGACTATCTTCGACCGTTGACCTTCGGGTGACCCTCGGACTTCCGCGTGCTCTATACGAGCTATTGCGGTACTGGTACAGGCGTACACTTCGTTATGGAGTGACGCGAGAGTGGGAAACCTTCGGGAATGTTTATAATAACCTTTCGGTTATTCCAACAGTTTACTGTGGCGGGAGCAGTCATGTATGCGGTAAGGAGGGGCGCCAAGTAAGGAAAATTATTTTTTCCTGCATAAGGACAATAATGCAAGCTTCCGGATTTGACATGATTTTCTAGATTTAAGATTACACTATAGAGCGTAAGCAAACATCAACAGTCGTAACTGAGATTTGACCTGATGGTTGTACTCGGTTCGTAGTAGTTTAGAAGTGAATCCGCCAGACATTCCAAGTTGGACTCCGCAATTCATGCGTACCGTCATTGGGCAACCAAGCACCAACAAAGTGGGTTTTCGGGCATTCACGGACATTCGAAGCCAGGAGAGGGAAGGGGGATAGGAGAAGGCGGAAACTTGGGGGCGGGAGGCGGAAAGTTGGAAGAGGACAACGGGGAAGACAGGAGGATGAAGGCGGAAGGATGGAGGTGGAGGCGGAACGAGGGTTTCAAACTTCCTGGCCTGCCTAGGAAAATCAAGATTTGCCTTTCTTTTGTTGGCCTTGGGAATTGTGTAACGCGAGGTTGATTTTGAATTTTGAGATGAGCTTTGCCGAGGCAATTAAAGATGCCTTCTTCATTCATTGCTCAAATGCAGGCACCGTGATCATCCACCTGCCGCGCGCAGGCATGCGTTCTCCACCTCAATGCTGCTGAAATGCTGAGCGTGGACGGGTTAGATGCTGCCGCTCTGTTTGGTATGTTTCCGTTTCGCCCAGCTCAGGAAAATGGAGCCCTTCCGCTTGTGGAACAGGATCACGGAGAGCGAGGTCATTCCGAAGGTATAAGCCGGTTCGGGGCGGTTCAGCCGAGAGTAGAGGTGGGTCGAGCGTTGTCGTCGCCGTCGCACGAGCGTCAGCGGCGGAAGGCTCATCTTCACCCTCAACGCCAGCAGTCGCAGCCGCATGTCTCGCAACAAGGCTCGTCGGGGCTGTCAGATCAGAACGGGCATTTACGAGCCGAACCGCAAATGTCTCCCTCTCAACCACATGCCTCTCAGCAAGCACCCGCTTTACGATCCGACCCTGTAGTGGCCCAGCTAACCCCTGTGGCCTCACCGCTCGTGTCGCAGCAGTTAGTATCGGGAGCGGATCTAGCGCGTCGGCAGCAGCTGGCGCTGCTATCGCATCACCTATTGGCGTCGGGGCTGGCCAACGGTCGTTTGGCTGTCAACCACGCTTGGCCGTGTCACCCTCGTTCAGCGACTCAAGCGTCTCAGACGGCTCACACGGCCCAGATTACACTTACAAATCAAACGACTGACGTGTCTCAGATGATTAACGCGACTCAGTTGATTCACGCGACTCAGACAGCTCAGGCAGGCGTCACAGGGACGGATGATAGCAGTCGATTCGATCCCTGCGGGCCCTCGGGGCTGAAGCCCTCGCTTGTGGCGAATGCGATTCCTTCGACCGCGAGGCAGGGGGTAGGGTTGGCAGCGGAGGGGCCATTGCTGGATGGGAAAACCGCTCTTTTTCTTCCTTCCGGCCGTCAGCCGCCCTCCCCTCTACTGCTCCCGCCATCCCCCATGCTGCGGCAGCAGCAAGCAATTCAACCGCTGCCCGCCGCACAGAACGAGCAGCCACTGGTGCCTCGATCAGCGGCGCTTTCTCGTCCATCTGCCGTCATGTCCGTGCCGTCGCATCCCTGCGTGCAGAGCGGCGCGGTCGGCGGGAGCGAGCCCACATCGCACGGCGGAGCGCACGCAACGGTTGTTCCCTCTGCACCACCGCATTGGCTCCTGTCGGATCGAGAGCTGCTTCAAGCACTTCAGCAGTAGCAGCTAAAGTGGCTGCAGCAGGCACATCAGCTGCAGCTGGTACACGAGCAGCAGGTGGCACAGCGCCCGCAGCAGCAGCAACAGGAGCCGCCGCAGCAGCCGCAGGAACAGTAGCAGCAGCAGCAGAAGGAGCCGCAGCAACAGCAGCAGCCGCAGCAGCAGCAAACGGAGCAGGAACAGAGACAGGAGGAGCAACAGCAGCAGCAGCAGCAGCAGCAACAACAACAACAACGGCAACAGCAACAGCAATAGCAGGAGCAGGATCAGCAATAGCAGGAGCAGGTTTAGCAGCAGCAACAAGAACAGAGGAAGGGGCAGGAGCAGCAGCAACAACAACATCTACAACAGCAGGAGCACGGGCAGGGGCAGGGGCAGGGGCAGGGGCAGGTGCAAGGGCAGTGGCAGTAGGAGAAGTATGATGATGAGGAGGAGCAGCAACAGCAACAGCAACAGCAACAACAGCAGCGAGAGCAACAGCAGCAGCAACAACAGCAGCAGCAGCGGCAGCAAGGTCAAGGGTTGGGCAGAGGGAAGGGGCGTGGGAAGGGTAAGGGCAAGGGCAAGGGCAAGGGCAAGGGCAATCGCGGGTGGCGGTCACCACTGGTCGTTAGGGTGAACGGTTCCCCTGCGCCAGACAAGGCGGGCCGCCCGTCCGCGGGCAAGAAGCGCCGCCACCTTGTGGACGAGCCACCAGGGCTGTGGCTGGGTGACGGGTGTGACGTTGCCACGTGTGCGTCGGACCGGTCGGACAGTCCGTGTGGCGTGTGCGCGGCGAGCGTGCTGGTGGTGCAGGGCAACCGCGGGTGGCGCGAGGGCGGGGCGGCCGTGGAGGCGCGGGTGGTGGGCGACGAGGAGGGCGGGGCGAGCGCGCACGTGCTCGCCGTGCTGCTCCGCGGCCACGCGCGCTTTTCGTACCGTCCGGAGCAGGCGGGGGCGACGGGCAGCAGCAACCGGGTGACGGGCGCCATCATGTGGCGCCCCCCCAATGCCGACGCGGGCAGCAGCGCCGCCTCGTGGGCGCTGGAGTTTGCGGAGAGGAAGGAGTGGCGAAGGCTCCAGCAGTTGCACGACTCATGCGCCCAGCGCAACAGCCGCACCGTGTCGGCGTGCCGCATCCCCATCCCCGGCGTGCGCCTCGTGCCCTGGCGCTGGCGCTTGCGCGGCTCCTCCGCGTGCGCGGCCAGCAGCAGCGCCAGCAGCGACAGCGTGGCGGGGCCGGTGGAGGGCGCGGAGGCGGGTGAGGGGCGCGAGGCGTTCGCCCCCCCGGCGGGGTACATCCGCGGCGTGGACGAGGCGGAGCGCGTGCGGGCTGGCAGCCGCCACGTGGTGTACGACCTCGACTTCGACGACGAGCGCTTCCTCTCCTCACTCCCGCGCACCCTCCGCCGCGCAGGGTTGGAGGGGCAGACAGGAGGGGAAGGGCAGGTAGGGGGGGAGGGGCAAGGAGGGGGGGAGGGGAAGGGAGGGGGGAATGGGCAGGCAGGGGGGAATGGGCAGGCAGGGGCACAGACGGCGGGACAAAGGGTTGAGAGTGTCGTGTGTGAGGGTAGAGGGGGTGATGGGGAAGTGGAGGGGAGTGCAGTGGCAATGAGCGAGGGGCAGGTGGAGAGGGTGATGGACCGGCTGGAAAAGGAGTCATTCGCTGTGCGCTCGTTGCTCTCCGAGGCACACGCCCTGCGCTGCTGCGCGCACCTGGCGCCGCCAGATGCCGTGCGCGCCATCTTCTACCACTAGCGCGCCAAGCGCGCCCGCAAGGGCACCACCCTCTGCCGCCACTTCCAGGTCAGCCCGCTGCCCTCCGCCCGCCGCCCTGCAGTACGCAGTCCGCACCCCTCATGTCTGCCCGCGCCCCTCATGTCTGCTCGCGCCCCTCATGTCTGCCCACGCCCCTCATGTCTGCCCCGCGCCCTTCATGTCTGCCCGCACCCCTCATGTCTGCCCGCGCCCCTCATGTCTGCCCGCGCCCCTCATTTCTGCCTACGGCTTGCCCCATGCAGGCTCGTTTCTCTTGCTGCCTATCCGGCTAGTCGGCCAGGGGCCTTTTTTTTTTCCTCTTGCATGCACCCACGAGCTTGCCTTCTCATTCCACTTGTGCCCCTCCCGCCCTGTCCGGCCCCCCTCTTCCTCCCCCGTGTCATGCGACGCCCCGCCGCTGCAGCGCGCGCCATGGGAGGTGTATCAGGCGCAGGTGAACGAGTGGCAGCGGCAACTGCAGCTGCTGCAAGCCCGTGAGGCCACGCCCCTCGCTCCGTCTCCTGAGCCGTGGGCCCCGGGGCAGCCGGGAGGAGGTGCGGAGGCAACAGCGGGGCAGAGGATGGGCGAGGGAGCGGGGATGGGTGGCGTGGCGAGGCAGGGAGAGAGTGGTGTCGCGCAGCAGCAGCAGCAGCAAGAGGAGGGAGGGGAGCAGCAGCAGGAGGGAGGAACGGGGCGTGCGGTAGCAATGCAGCAGGGTCAGGTGTCAGCTGGTGCAGCAACCAAGCACGAGCAGCGTGATCCCCACGGCCAACACCCACCCAGCACGGCAGCACCAGGTGGCGCAACAGCAGGTTTATCCACTCCTGCGCGCCTTCCAAGAAGCCCGGCTGCCTCCTCCTCTCCTTTCCCCTCACCCATTCCCTTCGGCACCCCTATCACCCCCATCACCCTCGGCCCTGGTAGTGCCGCGCAGCAGCGTATGCCCGCCATCCCCCGCCCGCCTCTCTTTGCCTTCTGCCTGCACCCGCGCGCCCACGCGCGCAGGGCCGCCTTCCCCTCGCGCGCGCGCTTCACCAAGCGCGCGCCGGCCTCCGCGGAGCACGTGGCAGGCGCATAGGGTGGCGCTGCTGCGGACAGTGCGGAAGGCAGCCCCAGGGTAGGGGGCGTGGCGACGCGCGCAGAGGCGCTCCCCGTGGGCGAGGCGCAGCAGGGGGGGCGGAGAGAGGGCGTGGAGGGGCTGGTGGCGGCCAAAAGGCAGCGCCGCGTGGTGTGCCTCGCAGGTGAGCCAAACCCTCCCCCTCGCCCTTCCGCTGTGCCGCGCGCCTTCTCCCCACTCAATGCACCGCCTCAATTCCCCGCACCTCCCTCCTGCCAAACCCTTGCTCGCTCGGCTGTGCCCCCCACTGCAGACCTGGGAGGCGAGGAGGCGGAGGGCAGCAGCAAGGGCAGCTCAGCAGGCGGGGCAGCAGGGGGAGCAGCAGAGTCTTTCCCTGGTGCAGGCCATGAGGGGGTGAGTGCCCCGCATGGGGACCTATCTCTCGCGCACCCCTCGTCTGCGCGCCCCTCGCCCACAGCGTGGCCTCACCTCACCACCACCTCGCCGCGGTCGCCCGTCCCCTTTGCCTTTCGCCTGAGCCCGCGCCTCAACACTTCGGAGCCTGCACACTTGGATGCCACTCCACAGGCACTGCCGCCGGCGCAGCAGCAGGTGTACGGGGGGGGCGAGGGGGGGATGAGGCAGTTGCTGAGGCAGCAGCAGGCGAGGCATGCGAGGGGGCGGGCAGCGTGGGGCTAGCTGATGGGCAGCGCGGGGGTGAGCGGGGCAGGCGGGGACGAAGCAGCAGCGCCCACGCCACCACACGGCGCTGCTGCAGGGCGCCTTGCTCTGCCCACTGTCTCCGCACCGCAGCACCAACCGCCCGGCGCTCCCGTGGTGGTTGCGGTGCTGTGTGGCGCCCCCGCTATTGCTCGCGCCCAGAGTGGCCCTCCTTCACACGCAGCTGTGGGGTATACAGGGGCCGGACAGCCGTGGGAGCATGCGAGAGGCGGCAGCGGAGGCGGCGAGGATGAGGCGCAGCAGCAGAAGAGAGGAGCGGCGGGCGTGCGGTCAGAGTTGCTGTCGCTGGCGCACGCGCGCCCACTAGGCAGTGCAACCGCGCAGGCACGTGCGGCTGCGACGGCGGCGCTCGGGGAGGGGATGGGTGCAGCGCCAAGAGATGTGAGCGCAGGGCGGTGGGCGCATTGCGCGGCGGAGGGGAGGCCATTGGCGCTGATTGTGGGAGGTAGAGCGCAGGGGATTGCAGGCGCAGGGGGAAGGAGAAGGCGCAGGGCGCGGGCAGTGTTGGTGCTGCAGCAGACACAGCAGCACGTGGGGTGGGCAGGGCAGGTGGAGGAGGGGGCAGGCGAGGCAGGTGGCACACAAGGTCGCGGAGACAGCTCTTTGAGTGGCGCAGAGGTGCACGCAGTGGGTCACGAGGCACAGGCGCTCGCAGGCAGCAGCAGGGGGGGGAGGCGGGTGGTGGATCACAGGTTGCCTCAGGTGAGCAGACTAGCGGCGCCTGCGATGCGTGGCGGCATGGCAGCAGGTGGTGGGCGCGAGGCGGGTGCAGTGGGCGCACAGGAGCAGCTGGGATATGCTGGAACGGGTGCTGAAGATGAAGAGTGGGGCAGAGAGGTTGGGAGAGAGACGGGAGCAGAGAGGGGCGGCGCTGCTGTGATGAGTGGAGAAGCGGAAGATGGGGCGGGTGGAGGGGCGGGCAAGGGCACGGTGGTGTACCACCGCAAGCGTCAGCGGTCGTGGCGAACAGCACGCGGTGGGGGGCACGCGGGCAGCGCTGCTGCCTGGCGCCCTGGCAGGCCTAGAATGGCCGGTCTGTCCCCTGCCCGCCTGCTCCTGCCTGGGCCCCTCACAGCCTCGCCGCTCATCTCTGAGCCCCACTTGCCCTCACCTCGTCTCGCTCACCCTCCAGCCGTGCTCCCGTCTGCAGCACAGGACCCAGCATGTGCATCCTCAAATAGAGAGGCGCAGCGGCAAGGGGAGGAGGAGCAAGGGGTGGAGGAGCAAGGGGTGGAGGCGGCGAGGGCGGCGGGGAGGAGTGCAAGGGCGAGGGCAGGTGCAGCGAGGGTGAGGGCGAGCAAGCTGCAGCACGCGGCTGATGCGGCGCTGGAGCACGCCTGCCACCGCCTCGCTCTCCTCCGTGCTGCTCAAGCCGTGCCCACTGCCATGCCCTCTCCCATGCCCCCTGCCATGCCCCCTGCCATGGCTGCCATGCTCCCTGTTCCTCCCCACCACCTTGTTGATGCCGCTCGTCCACCAGCCACTCTGCCAGCCGTCACTGCAGTCCATGCATGTGCCCCACCCCCCCTAGCACCTCCTCCTGCTGCTCCTCTTGCGGCTGCGTCCGCTGCTGCTCCTGCTCCTGATGCTGCTGCTGCTGCTTCTGCTCCTGCTGCTGCTGCTGCTGCCACTGCAACTGCTTCTTATGCTATTGTTGCTGTTGCTCCTGATGCTGATGCCGTTCGAGCTGCCTCTCCTGCTGCCTCTCCTGCTGCTGCTGCTTCTCCGCGTGCTGACAGTGCAGCTCCGGGTGAATGCCTGGACGGGCATCATTGCCATGGGGAAGGTAAAGCGTGTGGGGAGGGTGAAGCGGGTGGGGAGGGTGAAGAGGGTGGGGAGGGTGAAGAGGGTGGGGAGGGTGAAGAGTGTGGGGAGGATGGCGAGGGTGGGGTGAGGGGCAGTGGGGCAGGTGCTGGGGAGGGTTGGTGGATGGAGGGCGGCAGCATGGCAGCGAGGGTGATGCAGTGCGGAATTGTGGCAATGGGCAGGGTTGTGCTGGGGCGGGGTGTGCGGGAGGGCATGCAGCAGCTTGTGTGAGAGGCGATGGGTGCAACGAGTCAGGTCGGCCTGCCTCCCTGCCGCCTCCTCCATGTGCCGCTCATCCTGCTCCCGCTGCCCCTCCTGCCCACCCGCCTCCCATGCTGCTGCCTGTGCCTCCAACCGCCCAACATCCACAGCAGGCAACCCCCCCTCTCCCTCCTCCCACATCTCCTCCTCAGTCCTCCCCCTCACCACAGCAGCAGGAGCAGCAGCAGCGGGCAGGCAGCAGCCCAGTGGCGCTAAGGCCGTCGTTCCCGTCGCCCTCGTCGGTGGCCAAGAGAGCAGCCGTTACGTACCGCCGTGCTGACATCACTCTGCGCCGCGCTGATGTCACGCTGGGCGAGGAGGGGTGCGGCTTCAGCCTGCTGCCCTCGCCACACTTCCCCCTGCGGGCTGCCTCCGTCACACACAAGCCTGCTGACATCACTCTCCCGCATGCTGAGGTCACCATCTCAGAGCACCTGACTGGCAATGACGACAGCCCTCGCCCTGGCAGCCCAGCGCCCCCCATGCCGTCCACACTTGACTCCCTCCAACCCCCCCTCGCTGCACTCACCCCCATCCCTGCTCCACCGCTCTCTCATGAGCGCGAGGGCGAGGGTGGGCAGGGGTGTGGGGATGTGTGGAGCATGGGAGGAGGGGCGAAAGAGAGTGAAGAGAGCAGCAGGGAAGGAATGGGCTGGGCGCTGCATGCAGCAGTTGAGGTGGACGGGGTGGTGGAGGGGCGTGGCAGCATGGGTGTACACAAGCACATGGCTGGTGGCGGCAGCTGCCACGCGAGCGCTGATGCGGTGCGCATGCAAGTGGATGGGATGCAGTGGGGTGGAGGGCCGTGGGGCAACGCATGTGAAGGAGAGGCGATGCAGGCAGCAAGTAAATCAAGTGGAGATGAGACTAGCGGGGAGGGGCGAGGCAGGCAAAGACTCAGGGAGGAGGGATGTGGGGGGAAGCTGGGTGTGCAAAGGACAGTCGAGGGGGGTGAGGGGAGAGGCGGTGGGTTGGAGGGGTGTGCGAGTGTGATGTATGTGGTGAATGGGCATGTGGAGGGAGGCGCGCACACGCGCAGGCAGCAGGTGGGGGAGGATAGGGCAGTTGCCACATGTCACACTGGGGTGGGGGAGGGGGACGCAGCACACGGGTCTGAAGGAGGAGATGGTGGTATAGAGGGGGCAGTGAGCAGTGGAGTTTAGTGTGCAGCAGCAGGGCGAGTGGGGAGAGAAGGTGCGGATGAGGTGTGCGAGGCAATGCAGGGAGAGGAGTGTGTGCTGCAGGGTGACCCTGCGTGGAGTGGGCATGGCGGCGTGGGGACGGCGTCGGGTGATGTGGCGGAGTGTGAGCGCGGGAGCCACGCAGGCGGGGATGAGGCGGCTTGCGGGGATCGATCAGGGTCGGCAGGTGCAAGCGAGGCTGCCCGTGCGGGGCAGGGTGAAGGCGGTGAGAAGGGGGGGGCAGCTGTGATGGTGGTGGGGCCGTTGCCACTGCTGCCTGTCCCCGAGGCCCCTTTGCGTGAGCGGTGGGTGGGCTGCGGCGCACAGGGGTGGAAGGAAGCTCCCACAGCGGTGGTGCAGGGGCAGGCCCATTCAGGGGAGGTGGGGACAACAGCGGGCATGGGTGGCACAGAGGAGGGTGAGAGGCACAGCAGAGTGGGTAGTTGAGATGCCAGTTCGGTGCGCCTGCAGCTGAGCGCTTGGGTGAGAGCAGCTGAGCCTGTGTGGTTGGAGGATGGTTTGGTCAAAAAGTACCACAACAGGTTGTAGACTTCATGTAGGTGGAACCCAAGGCTCTAAAATTGTGTGCCATTCACTGACTGGTATCTGTGCCACATGATGGGACATGTCAGCCCTTCACAAGTCGCAGCCATCAACCGCTCCCAGTTGTTTTGGGGCTCATTTGTTGGCAATAATCGTGCATGTAGAATTTTTTGTTGTGAATGTACCGTAAGAGGTACCAGTATGTCTAGACAATCCTGGGTACGGACCAGGTCAATCTTAGGTGCGCAGACCAGGGATGTTAGCATGCTGTTAACGCTCATGGGATTCCTCAGATCTGGCGGCCGACGAAACCGGCGGGCGGGGCGATGCCGATCGACGTCCCGTCAGGGCTAACGTTTTAGGCTCCCTGATGGAAAGATTTTCTCCCGGTTGCAATTTGAAGGATCTTCGATTGCTCAGTCTCCAGAGGCTGCTTGCTGCCAAACAATGTTACTATATTGGGGTTAGCTTGACGGTATCAGGGTTGTGTGTACACTACCTTGATACCGAAACTTTTTTTAGTGCGGATCAGCCATACTCCGCGTGCTGGCAAACTGTACCACTCTCACACTGCCACCGTTGTCGCTTGTGACCACAGGCGGAAAATCGTATAGTGTTGTCGGCGGCACGCCATGTCGCCTTATTGGCTGTTTTACCCACTGGACTGCCAACGCACCCCTGAATCGAACCACACCACGCCACGCCCACTGCCAGCTGAGCTGAGTTGCGCGTCAAGGACAGCTTTGTGCTACTTTATTATTACTGTAGAAGTTACTGGTAATTAAATGACAAACTAGCAGTGAAAAGAGGCTAAGTATAGAAATACCTTGCTCAAATCAGTGTACTAGTAGCGCATGTTATTGAGTTTCGGGCATAAGCGCATGTGCTTATATAATGACAAATACAAATTTATACTTCTAACGTACCAAATTGTACCTTTCATTGTTGACATTTCAACCGAGTCGAAATAACATAGTAGCGTCACAAACCAGAATCGCGCGCAAACGTTTCTGCTTCCTGCACACGAGCAAATTCGCGTCACTGTGCAGGCATGCCAGCACATCCTGACTAGACGCACAGCCAGTTAGGTCTTCATGAGTCAAACGAAACGAAATTGAGATTTGACTCGCTGCAAAAAAAAAAAAATAAAAAAAATCCGTAAACGTTTTGAGCAGATTTTTAAATTAAAATTGTACGTGTGCTTATAATAAGTAAAGGTTTTCTAAGGGGGGCGATTATAATTGAGGACTGGCCATAAGCGCATGGCTCCGGATAGAAGCGCCGGCACTTCTAAGATGGTATCAGATAAGTAACTCCTAGGCCTTAGCCCCGTGTCGCCCTTAAACGCCCCATTACTCTCCGTGTCGCCCTTAAACGCCCCGTTACGCGTTGCCTCCTCGCTGCCCCGAGCTGCCCTACGTTGCTCGCGCTACCTGCACTGCAGCAGAGCCCTGCATGCACGTGCAGAAGCACGCACATGCGCGCATGCACGGCATGCGCCGCGCGCAAAGCAGTCGCCGCCGCGCGGACTGAACCCGCTGCCGCGCACCGCTGCACACCCTCACCGAGCCCTGCCCTGCCCTGCCGCCCGCGCACGCAGCCTCACACACGCTGCCGCGCACGAGCAGATGCACACAGCTGCTGCTGCATGCGCACGCACAGCTGCCCATGCACTAGGAGCCGCACGTGCAGCAGCAGCAGCACTTGCACGTACCTTCAGTACGCGCCCCTGCCCGTGCTCCTTAACAGGCCACCTTGTTCCCCACCGTTCCTAAACGCTCCCGACCGCATTCTACCGCATCGAGCCCCCCAAATTGACCGCTCCCCACCGTGCTATACTGCTCTGCACTGCACCCTTACGCACTCGGCCACACCTTTACCGCTCCCCACCGCACTAGTCCTCACCCTACGGTACCTGATCACTCTCCACCGCACTAGACCGCACCCAACCTCACTCCACCGCACTCAACTGCGCTAAACCGCACTCAACCGCACTCGACCGTACCCGACCGCGGTAGACCGTACTCCACCTCACCTGTACCTACTGTCTACCACAAGCCTCTTACCCTTAGCGTCCCTAACGGCGGTTGGCAGCCGTAGTCGACTCTCCTCGTGCCGTTTAGGGTTCGTGTCTCGTTCGCTCATCCCCCAGTTCCTCTTACACATCCACCCTGGCGTCTCTTAGTCCGTTCGCTCCTGCCTCCGCTCTCTCCTATCGCCTAGTATGGCATCCTCTCTGGTTTTACGTTTTGACGCCGAGGATCACCCGATCGCGTTTAGCTCGTTGCTTACCCATGCCCAACGCCACCTTAGGAGTCTACGTAAGGATAGCGCCAACCTCTTTTCTCAAGCATCTGGCACACTACAGACCCCTTCCCTAGTTCCCTGCCTACTGCGCCTCCTCCCACCGCTGATCAGCAAAGTACAATAGGCTGTTCTTGGACGTGACGTTTGGGAGTCCCGCGACGCCGCTGTATACAACGCCCTCACCGACCTTCTCCCGCCGACTAAGGCAGTCCAATTCTCCCAGTGTGCAAAGAACCTGTACAACACTATTCTTGCTTGCTATCACACCCCTTCCTCTGCCTCCCTCGACCACCTCCTTATGCCCTTTGTATTCCCTGTCTCCAACCTTGTCACCAACCTCCGCTCTCTTGACACTAGCTTTCGTGCGACCTGCACTGAGGAACAGCTCAAGCTTGCCTCACCGCTTATGTGGCTCACCTTCCACTGGTTAGTCACACGCCCCCCTGACCGCCTCTCCTTTGCCCGCGATGTGCTTCTCTTGAAGCACCCACTGAGCTCACCATTGATCTTCTTGAGTCTACCCTCTTTAAGATTGAGCGCAACCTCCTTGCTGTTGCCGCTGCCATTGTTGTGATGCCTCCCCGACTCTTAGATGAGTGCGTTGCACCCCAGCTTTCCATGTTCACTGCTTTTCTTGCCACACCTGCGTTGTCTAGTTTTGCGGAGACTGTAGCCATTTCTATCGTTAGTGGACAGAAACGGGGCAAGGTAGGTAGGAGAGGGGGGAAGGTTGGTGGTGGCGGTGGTGGTGGTGGCAGTGGTGGAGGTGGTGGCGGTGCTGGTGGTGCCGCTGGTGGCGGCGGTGCTAGTGCGAATAATGAAGCCGGCACTTGAGGTGGTACGGGGCTTGCGGGCTGGATGAAAGATGTTTTTGGGCTAGTTTCTTAGTACACGGAACACCAGGGACAATAGTCCCAGCAGCAGCAGTCACAGCAGGGACATCAGTAGCAGTAGGGACAGCAACAGCAAGGACCTAGTGGGCCAAGGCGTGCTGGACGTGGCGGTGGTCCACCCAAATGGGCGCCACGTGGTGTCACTCCTCCTCCCTGCCCTTACGTGGTTCAGACAGGCTCTCGGCAGGGTCAGCCTTGTGGCCGTCTTCACCCTCGGGGCCAGTGCTTTAATCAGCTCACAGATCGTCTGCATGCTCAGTATCGCTCTGGCCTCGTTCCGGACTGGGCCCTAATGGTTCGCTCCCGTTGGCCCAGCGTTGTTTTGAGATGATTGCAGTAAAGTTGTTTGATGCTTCGCAATCTGATTATGCGATATATACTGATGTTGCCAGCTTAGGACCTTTGCCTTTTTTTTGTCTAGGATCCTTGCCTGTTGCTAGTCTAGGTGCTGCTCCATGTACGGGTGACGCGTCGCTCTCTTTCACCCTGGACTCTGGCGCGTCTTAGTGCTTCTTCTGCGACCACGCGACTCTCACGTCGCTTCCTGCTCTGGGACCAGCAGTTGCACACAGCTCTACCACCCTCCCGTGCCCGGCTGTCCCCTCTCGCGTCCTCACAGGTCTCCACATCCCCTTGTTCTCCAAGAACTTGGTGGGTGTTGCATACCTTCAGGACCACCACGTCGGCATCTAGATTCCTCCGACTGAGCGTGACAGGACCTGCATGGACGGTGACACATACGCTCCCCTGGCCACGTTTTGCCGGGAGTCCTTCTTCGGTCTCTTCACACTGCACACTCACTCTCCCAAGGTAGTTGTGTCTGGTTAGGTGGCTGCGTCCGGTCAGGTCGCTGCGTCGTGCTCTTGTCAGTTGCTCACTTACCCAACAGTCCTGTGGCACCACCGTCTTGGTCACCCGTCACTCCCACACCTTCGTAGCATGTCTAGTCAGCATCTTGTCACAGGTCTCCTGCGCGTGTTTGCGTTGCTCCCTCCTTCGCCTACGCCGTCGTGCACACCCGGCGTAGAGGGTAGGCTGCACACCACTCCTCACTCCTCCTCCCTTTGCCCGGCCACCACAACTCTTCACTTGGACGTCTGGGGCCCTACCCCTCGACCTGGACCTGGGAGGGAGAGCTTCTTCTTGGTGGTCGTTGACAAATTTTCTCGCTACACCACCATGTCCTCCCTGCGGAAGAAGTCCGACGTGACGTCTACCCTAATCCGGTGGTTGCTCCCCAATAGTGCCACGCGTGGTAGTCGTGTCCTGCGTCTCCACTCCGACCGTGGGGTGATTTGGTTCCAACGTGCTTGCCGGGTTCTGTAGCGAGGAGGGCATTACTTAGTCCTAAATGCTTCCGGAGTCCACACAGAATGAGGTTGCTGAGCGCCGCATTGGCTTGGTCATGTAGATCGCTTGCACCTCCATGATCCATGCTCGTGCGCCTCATTTTCTGTAGGCCTACGCGGTTCGCTACGCTGCCCACAAGCTGAACCTATGGCCTCGCGTCTCACGGCCAGAGGCTTCACCGACTAGACTTTGGAATGTGTCCCATGGTGTTGCATCGGATTTCCATGTCTAGGGCTCCCTTGCGCATGTCCGCAATACCTCTGCGGACAAGCTCTCGGCTCCCCTGTGTCTTCCTTAGTTTCCCGGTGGCCTCCTCTGACTTCGAGCATTGCATGAAATGCGTAGCTATTTCAGCATGCATGCAGGCTTTACCTCTCTCTGTTCTCCTCCTCCCCACTTGATTCCCGCCCTTAAGCCACCATCCCTCGACCTCTGATCCGATCTCAGCAGTCCCCTAAACATCCTCCGCCTCCACTTGCTCTCCACCTCCTCCTCCATTGTGCTTGCACCACCCCTTCCTAGCTCCCCTGCCGCAAGCACCGGATCATGCAGAGCACCCCACACATGCTATGGTGTTGCCAAGCTACCCACCAAGGTCACATACCACGACGCACCACCTGCACACTCCCCCCCATCCACTACCCCAACCAGGCCTTGATACACAGGCGAATCCTCTGGAGTGCATATCCTGGTCTGGAAACAGCGATCGCTGTCTCCATCCTCCCCTGATGCGTTTCTCTCCGCAAGAAGGACAGCAAGGCGATACAGCACCCGCGGGCAGAGCAGATCCGTGGGGGCAGAGGGGGCTACAGTGGACAGCAGCACCACGTCTGTGGGCTTCAGCCTCAGCCTTGCTGCACCTCCCCATTGCAGCCTCGCTGCTGCCCCAGCGGCCCCTGCAGCCTGCTGCTGCTGCTGCACTCCAAAGTGCACGTAGCGGAATCTCTTCCTTTCAGAGCACGCAGCCGTCGAGTGCGCCTCCCTTGCGGCGCCTCCCAGCTGCCATTTGCACCGACCAATCGGCTGGCCATGTGGCACCATGCGCCACGGTGGTGCGATCTCATCCAACGCACTACTGTGCACTGAACGCCCGTGGACCTCGCCCTGGCAGTAGTTGTCATCACCAGAGTAACTCACAAACTGCCGCTGCCAGTCATCCCTCTCCACCTCGCCGCATCCATCCGCTCTCGCTGCCCACCTATCACCACCCTTCTGCACCGCTTGGACCACGATCCGTGTGGAGGCGGCGGCAAGCACACAGGTACGAGGGTAGATCCGGAAAGGTGGTTGGTATGGGCCGTACCTGCAGCACACAGGATGGCTCCTGAAGAGATAATGAAAGGAGAGAGGGGCTTGGGCGTGGTGCGGATGGCAAGGCATGGATCACGTTCCAGTGGATCAAGTGCTAGAGTGAGAACCAAGCTCGCTGCGAAAAGCAATTAGACTAATCAAGCGCCACAGGTGCCAACCGCCACAGGCTACTCATGAATCGCACGTCATTTCTCAACGAAGTGAGCCTTCTTGTCGTCTCACCTTCTCTCGGAGCAGCTCGTCCTCGATGCTCCATGTCAGCATGAGCTGCTCCAGCTGGCAACCCCGTGTTGGCACCGCTACATCCTTCCCTGCCATGTGGTGCTGGAACCCTCGTATTCAAGGACGCCCAGTTATTTTGAAAGATGGCTCCCAGATATCGCTTTCAAGAACTTCCAATAACCATGACTTCAACGGCGAATTTAATAGGTTCGACGGTTTCCACGTATTGGTGCAATACCACGCAAGAGCCTCGGAGCCTTCGCACAAGTGCGAGCCTCGGAGCTTTTGCACAAGTGCAACCGCGGAAACGAAAGAAACTCTTTAAGTCGTCCTCTCAGAAGTGGCTTTATTGGCCGCTAAAGACGCACCCAGGGAGGTTGTACAGCGAGATGTGACAGCGAGAAAGCCGAGAAAATGCCACAGAGGTAGAGGCCAATAGTTTTGCTTATGAACATGTGAGGAGCAAGCCAATAAAAAAAACGTGTTGTACCCTCTCAAAGTCGCCGTGCACGCTTTCGCCGAATCTTCTTGCTCCGTGCATTGCGGCTCGACCCATATTCATGGAACGGAATGCTAGGAACTCGCGGAAACGCGACGTTGAGCAAAGGCGTGAACTAGGAGAGAGGGAACCAAAGGGATGATAACGGAGCATGATGGCATGCCTTTGTCGCGGCCACCGAGGTGGTCCGTTGAACCCTCTGGCTGGGCCAATAATCAAACGGTTTCTGTTGAAAGGCGCCATGCATGAACGGTGCTGCGGGAATTGCCAGGACGACGCACGATAGTGCAGAATCTCACATGGAAAGGAGCCAGTGGGTGGTACTGTACGAAGCTGGCTGGGAAGGCGGAAGAGGTTGCTGGTGAGATTCGTGAATAGGAGGGTGGTGCGAAGCGAGTGGAAGGGCTGGTGGTGGTGGAATTCCCAAGGTGATCTAGGCGTTGGTTGGGCGTGAAGGTGGCTACGTTTGACGGCGGGAATGTAGATGATGGATTGACTTATGCGAGCGATTGATCTGCTGATTGGTTACCTGTAATCAAGCTACAGTTATATTGACAAGTATTCGTATACATCCTGAGATTTTTTTTTTTCAAGATGGACACTCTCTGTTCCAGCAGCAGCACCACCATGACAAAAGCACTGCGGGTATTTTGAACCACGTAGTCATTAGGAACTGGGCCTCAGATTCACTTTTAGGGACGTTGATGCATCAAGGTCCCTATTTCAAAAAGGCTGAAAATCAGTGTTCCTTAAAAAAAAAGCCTGAATTCTCAGGGTCTCCCTAAAAGAAAGCCTTATTCTCCACACATCATATTCTAAACACAAGTGCTAATCCTTTGAACTATTTCCCTCGCAAGATTCGAACCGAAGGCTTTAGGGCGGAGTCAGGTTATACGATTCTCACGCATTTACAGTTCTTGTTTTGTGGTTCAGGATGGTCCAGCACGGTGAAAAGCTGTTCTCGCCTTGTACCGCTCTGCACCGTGTTGAAACAAAGTTAACCGCTGTAGGCGTACAAAAGGTTGTACAACCTGACTGTGAGAATCGAGGAATGATTGCATTGAGCAGCATGAGGAGTACAAGTAGGAAACCCTAAAGTGTTGTACCCCATATTAGCTACCCCACTACAGCCTACACAGACTAGAGCATATAAGTTTGACACACCCCCATAGGCAGAGTGGGGGAGAACAAGAGGTCACAAGACCAGTCAAGAAAAGCAAGGCAAGCTCATGGTGGATCACAACGTCACCACACAAACGGAGCACAAGCACAAGGCCACAAGGCCAGTTCACATGCAGAGTTATATATCAAGATGAACAAACAAGGCCGTGATCTCAACCTAGCAAGGGTAAGCAAGCAAGTGCAGATATATATAGATCACAGTACAAGCAAAGTCAAGAAGTGAGCAAGTGAGGCCAAGTAGGCACAAGACCTAGCAAAGTACAAAAGCTCAGATGATCACAAGGCGGAAGTGCCTTGGTAAAGATATCAGCAGTGTTGGCCTCAGAGGCCACGTACGCAAGGCGCAGCTGACCGCGCTGCTGCAGCTCACGAGCAAGGAGTAGCGAAGAGCAATGTGCTTCGTTCTGTGCTCCAGTCTGTGCTCCCGACACAAGGCCAGCATGGCCTTGTTGTCTACGTACAGAACTGGAGGAGAACGAGGCGGCTCTCCTAGGTCAGTCAGCAGGTAGGTGAGCCAGTGTAGCTCCTATGCAGCCATGGCCCCCGCGTAGATCTCAGCCTCACAGCTGGAGCCGAGAACGGAAGACGAGCGGGTAGACCGCCACGAAACAGAGCCGGAGCCAAGGCTGAAGGTGTAACCCTGTGACGACCGCTGAGTAGCCTGGTCGTCAGCCCAAGAAGCGTCTACGTGACCTGTGAGGACAGCTGGACGTCGCCCTCCAAGCACTAGCCCCATGCCCGACGTACTGCACAAGTAGCGCAACACCCTCTTCGCTGCAGCCATGTGCTCTGGTCGGTGTCTCCCAGGAGCAACATAGCGTGCCAAGATGCTAAGAGGGTATGCTAGATCAGGTCGTGTGCAGGTCATCAGGTACATGAGGCAGCCAACAAGCTCTGGGTACGGGCCACTCGGCTCTACGGACTCATCCGAAGGCAGAGCTGAGAGCGAGTGGTGAGTAGACAGAGGAGTGGCTTGAGGCGAGGAGTACATGAAGTCGAAGCGCTGAAGGACCTGCTGCACCATGTGTGACTGATTTAGGGTAATGGTGCGCTGTGCTCTATCCCTGGTGATCTGCAAGCCAAGGTAGCTGCGCAGTTCACCCAGGTCTGTGCACGTGTGTCTCTTCTGTAGCTCAAACTTCACGTGGGCGAGTCCAGCAGTGTCAGCTGTGGTAAAGACCAAGTCGTCGACGTACACGAGGATGTAGAACGGCGGCAAGGAGGTGTCGGTGCGTAGAAACAGCGACGGGTCGGCAGTAGACGGAGCAAACCCAAGAGCCGCAAGTGTAGTCCTCAGTGTGTCGTGCCACTCACGGGCGCCTAGCGGAGACCGTAGACTGGCCGCCTCAGGCTCCACTGGGTACCAGGAGGAAACGACCCAGTGAAGCCAGGTGGGCGGCGCAGCCAGATCTCCTCGTGCAGGCTGCCCTGCAGGAAAGCTATGCTGAAGTCAAGAGAGTGAAGCTCGTAGTCGCGCTGAGCGGCTATGTGCAGCAGCACCCGAAGAGTGGTCATCTTCGGGGTGGGAGAGAAGGTCTGAAAGTAGTCAACTCCCTGCCGGTGACTGAAGCCTCGAGCCACGTAACGCGCCTTGAAGACAGGCGGAGAACCCGACGGCCGCTTCACCCTGAAGATCCACATGCCACTGACGATGTTCGCCCCAGGTGGGGGAACCTCGTCGGCGTAGGTGCCTGTGGACTTCCAGGAAGCCATCTCTGCGTCCATGGCTATCTGCCACTGTGAGGAGTAGGGACCCTCGATCGCCTCAGCGTACGATCGAGGAGTCGGGACGTCTGGTGCATCCGGGTCACCCTCAGGGGCAATCAGCGTGGACACGAGATGAGGCAAAGCAGCAGCAAAACACTGGAACTCCTCCTGCCTGTCCTCAAGGACGTCCGTGCTAAGAGCACACTCACCCCCGACGGACGGAGGACAGACAGACGCAGACTCAGCAACAAGACTAGCAACGTAGTCTAGACGACAGCGAGCAGCAAAGTCGACAAGCTCAGCAACTAAGGCAGACGCAGCAGTGGACTCAAAAGAAGGGTCGGTGACAATAGTAGCCAGGAGACGCGTGACAGTAGGACTGGCAGCACGAAGAGAGTTAGACTCAGGGTCAGCAAGAGTAGGAAGAGAGGACTCTGGAGGAGACGGCAACGGGACACGCAGAGGAGCAGTGGAAAGACGCAATGCCATCTGGTGTGTGCCGGGGACCGCAGGAGGACGCGAACGTGGAGCACAACCACTAGTGCGAGCAGCACGAACAGGCGACGCAGGACGAGACGCAGGCTCACGACGCTCAGCAAGACCTCCAGTAGGACCAGTGTAGGGAGAAGGAGCAGGCAGGGGGGAGGCAGGCTGTAACTGTGAACGCGACTAGACACGCTGTAGACACGCTAAGGGAGGAGCAGGACCAGTAGAGGGCGGGAGACCAAGAACCTGCTCAAATAGCGGAACGAAGTACGGCCTCGGCCGCGCAGCGCCTCCAGAACCAGCAGGGACAGCACCAGTACCCCCAGCGGCAGCACCAGTGCCAGTAGCACCTCCAGCTCCAATAGCGCCAACTCCAGCACCCACAGAAGCACCAGCACCAGCAGAACCACCAGCGCTAACACCCCCAGCAGCTCCAGCTCCACCAGCTCCAGTAGCACCTCCAGCAGGACTCCTAGTCCCACCAGCTCCAGAACCGCCAGGACGAGCACCTCCAGGACCAGCAGCAACAGTAGTACCTCCAGCTCCAGCAGCACGGCTCCAGCGCCGGGCAAACCACTCGCCCAGCTCCTGCGGAGAGAGTAGCTCCCGCCTCGATGAAGCACCGCCAGAGGCCACACGAGTAGACCCAGCACCCCCAGGCTCCGCACCCCCAGGCTCAGCACCCCCAGGCTCCGCACCCCCAGGCTCAGCACCCATAGACGCAGCACCCCAAGGCTCAGCACCCCCAGACGCAGCACCCCCAGGCTTAGCACCCACAGACTCAGCACCCCCAGGCTCAGCACCCCGAGACTCCGCACCCCCAGGCTCCGCAACCCCAGACCTGGCACCCGCAGGCGCAGCGCCCCTAGCAGCACCAGAGTCAACAGCTACCTCGACAGGCTCCACTACGTCTACCTGGGACACACCTGACGGGGCAGGACCCTGAGGGGGGAGGGGGTCTACCGGGGGAGGA